TATCAAGGTCAGTTTTGGGCCTATCTGAGGTTTAGTGGGAGAGATGGAAGGGGTAGGAGATGCCCTGGACTGGAGTTCAGGGGCCCTTCTCGCTTCCTGGGCTTGGGCAAGTTGCCAGCCTTTCCTGAACTTCAGTTCTTTGTCTGTAAAATGGGGCTGGGGAGAAGGGCCTTTCTGGACAATTCGAATCAAATAAAATCAAACATTTAAAGTAACGTACACATTAGGTGTTGTTACAACATGGCCCACAAGCCCTAGCTGCCATCTCCCCCAGAAAAGGAGGGGCCCATGAACCCCTGAAATGATATCCAAAACCTCGTGGGAGATGCTTTTTTCTAGGGAGATCTCCATGTTTGAAAAGAGACAACTCCCCAAAAATGGAAGATTCATGAGGATGAATGCAAAATGTGAGACCTCTTCCTACCCGACAAACGGTCGACACTGACAACCTGTCAACACTGACAACCTACCAACCCTAGGAATGGCAGCATCCAGGGGAAGGGGCGGCCCCCACACTGCTGTGCGAGTGGACACAGCAGGGAGAGTGGCGGCACCTACAGAGAGACAGGCGGACCCTCCTCGGCAGCCCCACTGCCAGGGACACACCTTAAAGAAACTCTCACACCTGCACCCCAGACGCACTCAGGGCCCTGGCCGTGACGGTGCTGGCCACAGTGTGCTGGGTGACAGTGGAACACAGGAGACAACCTAGATTTCCGTTGGGAGAGGGGCAGGCAGGACAGAGTTCACACTACAGGTCGCCATGCAGGAGCCCGCAATTAAACACATCAACAAGCACAGGTGTCAACAAGACTGCTGAGTGAAAAGTACAAGTTCCAGGTTTTTTACGTAAAGTTAAGAAAAACACCCACACAAAAGAATCCTCTATATTAGTTATGGATACTTATATCCATGTGTAAATGTACCCAAAAGAGCCTGGGAGGAAAAAGACGAAAGCAGTAGTTGGAAGAAAATGGGTTACTTAATATTTCTTTGGAATACTTCTTATAATTTTTTGTAAAAAAGGACTTAAAGCCAAAATGACAAAAGATTAACCATTTTCAATTCTGGGTAGAAGAGATACTATGTTCATTTTATTATTCCTGGGATTTTTCTGGATTTTTAAAGTTTATCGAATATAAAAAAATTAAAACTGCACTGTTGGCTGGGCCATGCCAGGCTGAGGGCTTCCCTGCCTTGCTCTGTAACTGCTCCCACATGGGCCACCAGGCTAGTGTCTGTGAGAAGTGTCAGGCTGAGCAGGGAAGGGCACACACTCCCTATAGAACTGGGCAGGGCAGGGCCCCAGAAAGCGGCTCCTCTTGGCTGGCTGACCCTGCTGCCCAGGCCTCCGGGGAAGATTCGGGAGAAGAGACAGCAGAAAAGGATGGGGCAAGGGAGGGGAAAGGCCAGTGGCCTCGTCACACATGAGCAGCTGTGGGCCTGAGGCCAAGTCCTTCCTTTGGGCAGGGAGCTCAGTGAGACCTGACTGGGTGCCAGTGGCTGCAGCTTTAAATAAACTTGGACATGTCCACCTGAGGCCAGGAAGCAACACCAACTGTGCCCCGGGCAGGCACTGTCAACAACCAGCCAACGTATCAACCAAGGGACCCCAGCGCTGCAAAAGGGCTGAGTGCCCACAACTGAGCCCTGGCCTCAGACATCCCCCTTGGGTGCCCTGCTCTGCCCTCCCCGCTCCCTGACCCACCTCTATGGCACGGCTGCACCCCCTAGGAATCAGTCCCTTCCCTACCCCAGAGCTGCCACAGCATGGCAGTGGCAGGCCTTTGGCGTCCCCAGGGACCCGGCGCCTAGCAGGGCTCCAGAAAGGTGCACTGCGCTGAGCTGCCAGCTCCTGGCTTGGGCATCTCCTCTTGTCCCAGGTCACGGGGCTCCCCTCGATGCCAGGCTCCACTCCTCACCTCGCACTGCATGGCTCCCAGTGCTTTCGCTCAGGAGGCCACACTCCCTTCCAGCAGCGGCTCATTCTCCGGCTTCAGAGAGAAGCCCAGCAGTCTTAGCCCCACCTGGTCTCCACCTCTGGAGCCACCTCTCTCAACCTCCCCCAGGCAGCCCCAAAGACCTTCACTCCCCAGTGTGGGTGGCACTGGCCAGGACATCCAGCTGTGCTGGAACTGGAGGCTCAGTGGGGAGCTGGCCACCCTGACACTGCCACTGGATGCAGGGAGGCTCGCAGCAAAGGGGAGAAGGAACAGCCAGAGTGAGCTGCAGGCTGAGGACACTGGGGTACATGGGAACGTCTTGAAAGTGGCTTCTTTGGGGAAGACCAGGGACACCTGCTGTGAGGGCCTCTGTGCTTCTGGGCACAGGCAGAGAAGACGACAAGAAGGCCCCTGAGGAAAGACTGACTTCCCACTGCTGCTCTCTTCCTCTGAGAACCAGGCACATTAACTGCTACCCACCTGCCCTTCCAGCGGCCAGGACACCTCTGGAGGCCAAGAGGTCAGGCAGGGGTAGATCTGTGCATCTGAGGGGTGAAGACGGGGGAGCCAGCCACCCACTTAGGGATCCCCATGAAGGGGGCTGGGCCTGACCCCTCCCTCGAGGTCTCAGCTCTGGGGTGCTCTCCAGACCCATCCAAGGAAGGGTCCCCCAGCCGGCCTGGCCCCTCACCCCACCGATCCAGCATGGGCTTCTTGCACAGGGCTGAGCGCCACATCTCCAACCCCTACCCAAATCCTCTCCACACGTGCAGGAAGAAGTGGGGAATGAACACACCCCCACACTCCTCCAGCTCCGCACTCCACAATTATCAATGATCAGCGTCCCTCACCCACCACAAGGTTTCACCAGACACTTATTTAGTAAAGGAAAAAAAGGATCAGTGCTGGATGTGTAAGAGGAAATCTCGCCAGCACCGCCAGCGCCCCCACCGCCTGCACTGAAGGGACGGAGGAGGATGGGGGAGGACGGAGGAGGATGGGGCTCTGGCCCAGTCAGGCTGGAGATTCGGGAGTTCTCAAGCTAGCCCTGGGGATGCCAGGTGCAGCCACCTTGATTCTCAGACGGGAGACCCCAGGCCAGACAGGAGGCCCCTGAGGCGTTCCCCATCTCTGACCCCAGGGGCAAAGCCGGGTCTGGGGGACCCCAAACCAGACCTTCGCCCCACACTGCTCATACTGCTGAGCAGAGAACGGGAGCCACAGCACCTGTTTCCCGTGAGGTCCCACTTCAAATAAACCTTCAAAGCCCCTTCCCCTTTACAGTGCCCCCGACAACGGTCCAAAATCCAGCCCCCACCCACCTCGATGACCCTGAAATTTGCAACCCAATCAGGATCTTAATCTCTCCCCCCTATCCCCATGACCTGATCCAGGCTCCCTGACCTCGTCCTCCCCACACCTCCAAATTCCTGTTTCCAGAAGAATCTGGGGGAAAATCCTCCAGAACCCAGATTCCCCAGGAGACCTACAGCAGAGGCTCTCCCACGCCGGCACCCCCCGCGCGGATGGGGCCACGCGCAGGAGCAGGCGCA